AGCACTAGACAAGGATGCTCTCTCTCACCACTCCTATTCAATATAGTACTGGAAGTTTTAGCCAGAGCAATGAGGCAAGAAAAAGAAATAAAGGGCATTCAATTAGGAAAGGAAGAAGTCAAACTGTCTCTATTTGCAGATGACATGATTGTATGTCTAGAAGACCCCATCATCTCAGCCCAAAAACTTCTCAAACTGATAAGCAACTTCAGCAAAGTCTCAGGATACAAAATCAATGTGCAGAAATCACAAGCATTCCTATATACCAATAACACACAAACACAGAGCCAAATCAAGAGCAAACTGCCATTCACAATTACTACAAAGAGAATAAAATACCTAGAAATACAACTAACAAAGAATGTAAAGGACCTCTTCAAGGAGAACTACAAACCACTGCTCAATGAAGTAAGAGAGGTCACAAACAGATGGAAAAACATTACATGCTCATGGTTAGGAAGAATTAATATCGTGAAAATGGCCATACTGCCCAAAGTAATGTATAGATTCAATGCTCTCCCCATCAAGCTACCAATGACCTTCTTCACAGAACTGGAAAAAACCACTTTAAACTTCATATGGAATCACAAGAGAGCCCACATAGCCAGGACAATCCTAAGCAAAAAGAACAAAGCCAGAGGCATCACACTGCTGGACTTGAAACTGTACTACAAGGCTACAGTAATCAAAACGGCATGGTACAGGTCCCAAAACAGAGACATAGACCAATGGAACAGAACATAGGCCCCAAAAGTAACACCACACATCTACAACCATCTGATCTTTGACAAACCTGACAAAAACAAGCAATGGGGAAAGGACTCCATGTTTAATAAATGGTGCTGGGAAAACTGGCTAGCAATGTGCAGAAAGCAGAAGCTGGACCCCTTCCTGTCACCTTACATTAAAATTAACTCCAGATGGATTAAAGATTTAAACATAAGACCTAACCCCATAAAAACACTAGAAGAAAACGTAGGCAAAACCATTCAGGACATAGGCAGAGGCAAAGACTTCATGACTAAAACACCAAAAGCAATGGCAGTAAAAGCCCAGATAGACAAATGGGATCTAATTAAACTTCAGAGCTTCTGTACAGCAAAAGAAACCATCATTAGAGCGAACTGACAATCAACAGAATGGGAAAAAATTTTTGCAATCTATCCACATGACAAAGGGCTAATATTAATATTCAGAACTAAAAAGAACTAAAACAAATATACAAGAAAAAAGCAAACAACCCCATTCAAAAGTGGGCAAAGGATATGAACAGATACTTTTCAAAAGAAGACATATATGAGGCCAAAAAACATATGAAAAAATGCTCATCATTGGTCATTAGAGAAACGCAAATCAAAACCACATTGAGATACCATCTCACACCACTTAGAATAGCGATCATTAAAAAATCTGGAGACAACAGATGCTGGAGAGGATGTGGAGAAATAGGATCACTTTTATACTGCTGTGAGTGTAAATTAGTTCAAGCATTGTGGAACACAGTGTGGCGATTTCTCAAGGATCTAGAAATAGAAATTCCATTTGACCCAGCAATCCCATTACTAAGAACAATAAATCGTTCTACTATAAAGACACATGCACACGTATGTTCATTGCAGCCATGTATACAATAGTAAAGACCTGGAATCAACCCAAATTCCCATCAATGATAGACTGGACTGGGAAAATGTGGTACATATATACCATGGAATACTATGCAGCCATAAAAAACAATGGGTTTGTCTCCTTTGTAGGGACTTGGATGAATCTGAAAGCCATCATTCTCAGCAAACTGACACAGAAGAGAAAACCAAACACCACATGTTTTCACTCATAGGTGGGTGTTGAACAATAACACGTGGACTCAGGGAGAGGAGCTTCACACACTGGGGGCAATTGTGGGGGGGGTAGGGGAGGGACGGTGGGGGGTGGGGAGGGTGGGGGATAACATGGGGAGAAATGCTGGATATAGTATACACCTAAAGTAAAATAAAATAAAAAATAAAAACAACAACGACAACACAAACCTTAGAATAATTTTAAATTCCATTCCACTTTCAGCATTCCTGAACTGCTTTGAACGTACTGGCTGTTGAAACCATGGGAGGTTTTGACTTGAAATCCAGTCAAGGTAATAGGATTTTCCATTTATAACACATTCTGATTCATTTTGATTTCACAGTTTTAAAAAAACCTATTCTCTTTTACTCTGTGGTGATCTTTGCTTTTCTATTTGTGCATTGCTAGAATGTCAGCTGCTGTTTCCCTAGCACCTGAGATGTCACTGGACACTGGAGAGCGCTGGTGCTGAGAGTTGAGGGGATCTACTAAATAATACCAGTTTTCAAGACTGCAGTTCTGAATTAAAAGGAAGGGAAAGGACAGGCAAAAGGACACAGACATGAGCCACTTTTATTGAAGATCTGTTGGAGAACATGGTTTTGGTGTCAAGGAACTTGAGACCTAATACTGCACTCGGAATACTTCACTAAGGTGTGTCTAATTAGCCCACCTCTTTCTTGTTATAGGTGCCCTAAAACTATTAAGGTGATATTGAGGTTAAAGAATGGCTCCTTCCTCGTGGCTTTTTAAGAGATCTGGAGGGAGACATCTTGAAGTCACCAGACAAGTGTTTGCACGAAATGGTCTTGTGGAAGCTAGATACCCAAATAATAAAGCATCAAGTGGGGCTACTGCCTTAAATATGTCGAAACCGGCACTGAAGTTTGATGAAATTCTCAGTTCACGAAGTGGACTGGGAAAAACCTTCAAGAAAACATGCAAAAGCCCAGAGATAAATTGTGACATCCACCAAAGTTATGACGCAAGAAAAGAGAAATCGTCATGACATTTTATATCCAAGGGTTTCTGACATAGGGCGGCCATTTAAAAAAAACGGACAACAGAATAAAAAATTGATGAATCAGAAGCTATCAAAAGCGAAACCTTTGGTTCATTAAAGAAATGATACAAATAAAAACAACATAACGCAGCATTGGAGATGACAGTTTAACACGTATCTGAGAATGGATCAACATTCGATAGACAGCAAATAAAAATTGCTAAACTTGACGAAAGCAAACAACCAAAATTACATCTTGGCAAAGCCTGGGTGACTGGAGGGAGGCAAACAAACGCAGAGATTTAAAAGCAGGTGATCAAACAGATATTTGTCCATTATTCTTCCCACTAGCACTCCTTACAGTGAGAACAGGCAAAACACCCAATTATCTCATGGATTCTTTCATCAGTTGTTCAGGATCTGAGATCTTGCCTGAATTTCCAGTGACTTATTGCGGGGCGGACCTGCCGTTCCCACATTTAATGCAAAATTTCATGCTGATGAAGTTAGACATGGCCCTCCATGGCAGAGGGACAGAACTGGGGTGTGTCTTCAGGCCCTTTGTCTTACCAGGAATGAAGATCCTGGCTCTGAGGATTTTCTCAACATTTTTCAGACCGGTAGGACACAGGGCAGAATTGAGGCCATGCGACAAGGCCTCGAGGTGGAAAGAAACAGCACCTGGCTCCAGGCACATGCAGTGAGGATGATTGTAGGGAAGGTGGCAGAATGAGAAGAGTGCGACCTTTGGCACGGTTTCTTTCACTTGTCTTTTCCTGGGCCAGGTATGCTCAATCAGAAGGCATCCCATGCCTGATGGACAAGTCCTGTTGGAAGAAGTGAGCACGGCTGAGACAGATGCTCAACAGGGAGGAAAGAGCCCCCTTTTTCAGGAGAATGATCTCCAGACCATGAGAAATCCAGAAATCTTCTGTGGTTTCACACAAGATGCTGGCGGTTCTTATCTCTGGAGCCGGGACCTGGGCATCCACGTCCTTGAAATCTCCACTCTCAGGAAAGCCCAAGGGCTTTTGCACTGAAGTTTGCACATGTCACACAGAGACACTGTTAATATGCACATTTGGATGCTTGAGCAGGGTTGTACCCAAGATTCCATGTTTCTATGGAGCCCCGAGTTCCGCCCTGGATAGCTTTCCTCTTGGTTAGGTGGACTTTGGTCATTGTGCCTAACGAGACGTTGATCTGTGATGTTTCCCAGTCGAAGCACCTGTTGGTTTTGTGCCATTTGGATGAATTTCTATGAACCCCAGATTTACCACGAAATGTAATCTGCAGAAGCACAGGACAAAGGGCCATTCTCCAAAATAGTTTGCACTGACACACTACCACAGATCAACAAGTCTCCTTGTAAGACAGAGCTCGAGCTTCAAATATGCAGCTTTCACAGCTGGACACTTAACCCAGGGTCTTTCCTGATGCCATGTTTTATACACCAAATGCGATTTATTTGGGGGATTTCTCAGTTCATTTTAGTTTAATACACACACACTCCTTACTTCCAAATGACTTGCATAGCAGTGGGAGAAGCTCCCATTTCAATTCATGTGAAATGGACACCATTAACAGGCACCCTCTGTCTGTCTGTCTGTTCCCAGCATTATGTGAGTTCTGCCAAGGCCACCAGTCCTAGGGTGCCTGAGGTCCATTGAAAAAGCAATGTAAAAACACCAAGTCGGGATAAAAAGGAAGAACAACCTTCTTCCAAATGCGTTCCTGTTTCCACTATTCAGCATCGGGGGAATGCTCCACAGATGTTTCACCTTAGCAAAATGTCAGCTTCTCGTGCCTACCAACAATTGACTAAGGAAACACACCCCAAGACAAAATAGTAAATACTATTTTCCTCACATGCAAACCTCAATATGGAATATGCAGAAATTCACACTAATGTCATCTACTATGAACGCAAACAGACAGTCCCTCCACGGGTTCAGAAGCGTCCTGACTCCCACACTCGATTTTTCCCATACGTGGGCTCATCCTGAAATGCAGCCATCACTCTCCAGTTTTCTCTCTTGCATAGACAGAAACCTGGGCTCCTTGTCCCTTGATGTAGGACTGACTGCATATGCTTGTGTGTGTGTGCACGTGTGCACGTGCACACGGGCCTGCGTGTGGGTTGGCACTTGCACTGAGATCACTGGCACACGGGCAGAGCCCTCTTGCTGTGCTTGTTCTTCCCTTTGGGTCTCCTGGCCCTCCCTTTCAGACAAGCGAGAGTGCCGGTGTGCATGGACTCGTGATCTGTCAGGCTCCCGGAGGAGTTGTTCAGCAGGGAGCTTTGCTGTTCAGGATGATGGTTTTTCATCCCACTCTTGTATTTCGATGGATGAATCACAAGTACATTGGGAGGCCGCGTCCATTTGACGTTTCTGATGTTGAACTCTGGTTTTGTTTTGTTTTGTTCTTGGAAGAATTTCCAGTGGTCTAAGGTGGTTTCGTCAGTGGCTCTTTCCTCCAAGAGCTCTTTCGAGTCAGGGACCTGGAGGCCGGGTCTCTCTTGAGGTCTCCTTGGGTTGCTCCCCTGTGTGTGGCTTCAGTTCCAAGGGCTCTTGGTTCCCTGGCTATTGACACAGTCTCACTGTCTCTTTCCAATTCAGTCTTCCGGATGTAAAAGAGAACACAGGCCTGTTGATTCAGGGCAGAAGTAACGCCACAGGCAGTGACCTCAGCATCACCCATTTTATACCACTGGCCATCCCCAGCTCCTGCTTTGACATAAGAGAAGTGATGTCCATTGTGACAACTCCACCCAGTGTGGACCAGCACAGCATAAAGAACATAGAGAAGAGGTCCTGTGTTCTGCTGAGACAGCTGCATGTCAAGGCACTCAGGATATGGCACATTCTTGGCCAGTTTGTGGCCCGTGACATGGGAGAATCTCTTCAATACAAGAATGAGGACCTTGGGGGAGGTGTGTAAAGTTAACGTCTTGGAGGCCGGCACCTTCTGGAGACAAGTACCACAATGATAGGCACTGTCTCCATTGAGTTCTTCAGGCTTCACCAGATGTTCCCAAGCTTGCTTTGCACTCTGGGCGGCCTGGATACCCAGGGCGGTGTCCAGGTAAGGGTCGAAGGTGTCTGAAACGCCATCGCAGTGGACACACTTGATTTGAGATCTCCAGTAGCCTCCAAATATTTGGTGGATGAGGGTGGTGTACTCTGAGTGATGATCTAGCTGCTTGTGGCTGGGAAGTCTTGTCTTTTTCATGGCATTTAGAGTGAACATGAGAAATTCATGGGCATCTTCCTGCCTGTGTGATGGAAGCCAGCAGCCAATGCCTGTGAGGGCTGGATGACGTGGCCAGGATGGTGGAGGGCCTGCGTCATGTGAGCTTGCATAGTACACAGCATGCAGCACTTCTGGCAATGACAAGTTCGAGAGTGCTCCCCGGACAGCATGTACTTGGCAAGGGGTGGTGTGTATGTCAGGCACTGCAGCGAAGCATTCACGTAGCAAGTGTTTCCCATGTTCTGGAGCCCAGCCCCCACCGCAGCAGGTCTCCTGCTACTCAGAGGAAGTTTCTCCCTGGGAGCCAGCTGTCTTGCTGGCTCAGGAGCCAAATCATCAGAGAGGTGGACATGGGGCTCAGATGACAGTGATGACTTCTCAGGTAGAGACCTCAGCTTGAAGTTGGCAACAGCTGCATCTGGCCGAGAAGATGTGAGTTTTGGAAAGTCCTTGAAGTGCGACTCACCTCCCAAGTGGAGTGAATTGGCCTCCATGTTGCCAGGGGCAAGGATCACCAGGTTTCGCTGCTGGGACCGTTCACCACAACAAGACGCCTTCTCTTGCGAGAGAGCCTTCAAATGACAGGCTACCTGGCTGTGCCAGCCCTTATATATCTAGCTCCCGCCCGCAGGGATCATCACACCCACCCATCAGCTACCCGATCCACCAATCAAATATCAGCACTCAATTATGCTATGGGCCTCAGGGAGTGTCCTCTTGCATTCCCCCAGGGAATTCAGCGCATACAGCCAACAGTGTGAATTATAGAACACCTTAAGCAGATTTACTTATCAGGATGACGGGCAAATATAATAAGCGTGGAAGGAGGTTAGGATAGTGGCCACTCATTGGCCTTATTTTATGGAAAATAAATACCAGAGAAGAATTCAGTACATATGAAACAGCGTGTGAGTGTGTGTGTGTGTGTGTGTTATATGTGTGTATTGTGTGTGTGTCCTGTGTGTGTACGCGTTTGTGTGTCAGGTTCTTTGTGTGTTTGTGTCTGGGATGTGTGTGTGTGTGTTTTGAAAATTCCCTTTAAGCATGTGCATTTAAGAAATTCAATTATCCTTCAGCAACTGAAGGACAAGGAGTTGAAACCACAGTACAGTAATGTACAAGTAATTAAGGTGTATTCCTTACCTTAATTAAGATAGTGAGATGGATGGAATCCGATTGACAGGAGCAAGGATCACCTGGTTTCTGCTGGGACCCGCCTGCTGCAGCAAGATGCTTTCTCTTCTGAGAGAGCCTTCAAATGATGGGTTAGCTTGCCGTGCCAGCCCTTATATACCTATCTCCTGCCTAGCGGGATCACCACACCCACCTATCAGGTACCGGATCCACCAATCAATTAACAGCACTCAATGAAGCTATGGGCCTCAGGGCGTGTCCTCTTGCATTCCTCGGGCAATTAATGGACACAGCCCACATAACGAATTATAGAACACCTGAAGCAGATTTACTTATCAGGATGACGGGCAAATACAATAAGTGTGGAAACAGGATGGGTTAGTGGCCACACATGATTTATTTCATGGAAAATTTTAGGGAAGATTTCTGTACATATTGAACAGTGTATTTTTTTTTTTTTGCCTGTGTATGTGTGTCAGCCTGGACATGTGTATCTGTATGTGTGTTTGTGTGTTGAGAATTTTTGTAAGCATATGCATATGGGAGATACGGTCATCCTTTCAGTGACTGAAGGACAAGATGTTAGAACTACAGTTTCTGATTTGAGTATACTCAGCAAATTACCATAATTAATGCAGCATATTCTTTGCCTTAATTAAGAAAGCAAGATCAACGTAATCAAATAGACATTCCTTCGATAACCTTCGGCTAATTGATTTTCTATCAGGATGCAATGACCTGGCAGTGGGGACAAGACAAGTCTTTGCATGAAATGGTCTTGTGGAAGCCAGATACTGAAATAATAAAGTATCAAGTGGGTCTACTGCCTTCATATGTCGAAACACGCACTGAAGGTTGATGAAATTTTCAATGTGCAAAGCAGACCGGGAAACACCTTCAAGAAAACATGCAATTACTGAGAGACTAACTGACAACATCCACCGAAGTTATGACTGCAAGTAAAGAGAAATATTCTTTAAAGTTTACATTTAAGTGTTTCTGACATATGACGGCAATTTTAAAAAAACACAAAATAATAAAAACTTGACCAATCCAATGGTATGAAAATGAAAACTTTAGATGTATTATAGAATTGATGAAAGTTCAGAAAACATAACTCAGAGCATGGGAGATAATATTTCAATGCATATCTGATAATGAATTAACATTCAATGGACAGAAAATAAAAACTTCCAAAACTTGACAAAAGCAACAACCAATATTATACACTGGAAAGTTCTGGGTGACCGTAGTAAGGCCCTGTCTGAAGAAGCAATAAAAATAAACAGTCAGTTGTCCAGGATCTGAGATGTTGCTTCAATTTCTAGTTACTCATTGTGGTGTGGACCTGCAGTTGCCACATTTCGTGTAAAATTTCATGCTGATGAATGTAAACCTGTCACCTAATATCACAGGTACAGAATGTGTCCTCCTATTCTGTGTGTCTCCAGGCCCTTTGACTTATCAGGAACGAAGATCCTGGCCCTATGGATTTTCTTACTTTTCAGACAGTAAGAAACAGGCAGAATTTAAGCCATGCGATAAGATTTTGAGGTGTAAGGAAACAGCCCCTGGCTCAGGGCTCATGAAATTAGGATTATTTTTAGGAAGGACGGTGGAATGAGAAGAATGCGACCTTTGGCACAGTTTCTTTCACTTGTCTTGTCGTGTGTCAGGTGTGCTCAATCAGGAGGCATCTCATTCCTGATGGACTGAGTCCTGGAAAAAGAAAGGAACGCTGCCAAGACTGAACGGGGAGGAAGGAGCCACCATTTTCAGGAGAAAGATCTCCAGAACCATGAGAAATCCAGATGCCGTGGCTTCACAGGAGACGCTGGAGTTTCTAATCTCTGGAGCTGGAACCTGGGCATCAGTGTCCTTTCATGCTCCTATCTGATTCCCAGGTGAGCCCAAAGGACAACGTGTCTGCAAGTTGTGCTGATCGCACTGAAGTTTGCACATGTCACGCAGAGACACTGTTAATATGCACATTTGGATGCTTGAGCAGGGTTGTACCCAAGAGTCTGTGTTTCTATGGAGCCCTGAGGTCTACCGTGGACGTGTTTACTCTTGGGTAGGTAAACTTTGATCACTGTACCTAACGAGAAATTGATCTGTGATGATTCCAAATTGAAGCACCTGTTGCTTTTGAGCTATTTGGATGAATTCTGTTAACATTTAAATGGAAGGCCAGACATGGTGCCCAGGGTGCTTCCTTAATGTTGTGCACTTCCTCTTTCCTCGGAGAGGGAGTCCCTGAAATCCAGATTACTGTGAATGCTGCTGTTCCTCTGGAACTAGCCACCCCATGGGCTGCCACACAGCAGGCTGGTGCTGGAGAATGTCTGCAACGGACCAGCGATGTAATCTGTCCTCAAGTCTCCCAGCAGTGTGTATCAGCAGCTGAGCAGATGGGGGTGGCAGGGGACTCAGGTAGACTCTGAGAGATTCCTTGGTTATCCATAGCCCTAGCGTGTTGACTTTCTCAAATGCCAGTTGTAGTAGTAATGAACTCATCACATGGACAGACTCAGGGCCTCCTGGTTAGCCAGAGTGATGTAGGCAGTGGTAACAGTTGTGACCACTCACAAATTTTCTCCTTCCTGGGTGCTATGTTATTCTACTGCAGATGTGGTAATGGACTGTGTCAGCTGGCCTTCAGCCAGGAGGTGGCACTTGTGAGAGACTGCCAGCTGTGGTGGTAGTGGTGAGATTTTGGCTTGCCTTATGTTACCCGTGGGAGGTACTCCGGTGTCTCAGGAAATGGGCGGAGCCATAGAGTTCCTAAAAGTTTCTTCTGTTACTTGTGTTAATGGACCAGGGTGGGTGGTGGAGCAAAGCCAGGTGGGAACTGGATCAGGTAAGGCCATGCTCTGGCTCTCTCCATGTGGGACAAGCTGTGGCTCCAGTGGGAATTGGAGGACAGTTCTTGAGCCACTGGGATAATTTTCCAGAGAGGAGTGAAGCTGCCTCTGCCTCTGTCCCTATGAAGAAGCGGGAGTAGCAGGTTGGCAGTAAGCTCCATCCAGCTCCCACACACTTGGCAAGGCGGGTCTCACACCCACAGTGTTCCTCTGGGAGAAGCTAGCTAAGTTTCAGGAAGTCTGCATTCAGAACTCAAAACTGACGATACCGCAAGCCTTTCCTATGGAGACAGCAATTGCAGCCTTCAGGCCCCACCCCTCCTGGTCCACCTGCAGAGCAGGGGCACCCAGCTCCTATGCTCGCTGCTACAGCACACTACCCACTCACCCTCGGTTCTGGCCTGGGGAGTTGGTCCCCACTCAAGATTATATCAAAAATTTCAGCTGGGAAGTTCTCTCAACCTGTGGTCACCATCTGCGTTAGCCGGCAGACTTCTGGGAGGTCCTCTCTGAGATACAATCAGGAATGGCTTCCCTCCATCCTGCCGGAGACTCGAAGCACATCCCAGTGCCACTCTGCACATACTCCCCACTCTTCACTAAATCAGGTCCAGCACTGGGAAGGGTTCAGGCCTTCCCCCATGGCCTGGTTTGATAGGTTTCCCAGTGGAACAGTATATCTTAGAGTCAGTTTACCCCCATTTAACACCCCAGGAACTTAAAATGTTCTGCTAGCTCATGGTGTAAGCTGCATCCTGCTGCTTCTTTCAAAGGGTCTGTGGCTTATTTCAATTTTCCTGTTAAGTTCCTGTGTTGTTTCTTGAAAGAAAGTCCACAGTGTGAATCTCTACACACCGTTTTGTCTTTCCAAGCGGGAGAGGCAGGCCAACAAAAAGCCTTCAATCCATTGCCTTGGAAAACACAAGTAACAGTTTTCTCACTTTCAAAGGTTTGTTAAGATCTGTTAATGACTCATAAAGGAATAGTACTTGGGTGTATTTGAAATTAACGTTTATTCATTTGCACCGTTAAGTGAAAATAGAAGATGGTTATCAAGATGGAAGTACTTGATGCAAAACCTTCACTTTTGATGTATTTCTATTTTACGTCAGTGTCATTTCAACTTAGATTTAAGAGGTTCTTGATAATCTGACATGATAAGTGGTGTCGGAATTGGGAGTGAAACCCACCATACTCTACAGCACTTCATCCTCCGTTGGCAGGCACCAATTTCATCTTCTATTACTTTGCAGATATCTCTTCTGCAAATACCACCCAAGTTGAGACAGTGACCTTCAGCAGGACCCAAACCACTTCTTACTGCAGAAAAGAAGATCCAGCAAGACAGTTAGTCCACAAAGAGAGTGTAAATCCATAAATGCTCTCAAGAAACAGAATGATTTTAGCATGAGCATTTTCATGTGGGAGCTCTTACAACCGCTGCTGCTCATACGTCAGAGGCACATGCAGGTTGAGAGAGGTAGCAGTTCCCATCCTGGTTTGGCACAACAGTCATTATATTTTTCATGGAAAAGGGATGAGAGAGGGGATGGTACATCTTCATCTTTTTCTCTGGGTTTTCTGTCAGGAATGGCCGCTGCTTACCCCAGTGGCAAAAAATGCCAGTGTCCTCTGCCAGAACGGGTTATTGAGGGCCATAGTGGTTTCCACCTTGTGGCTGATACTGATAGTCTCTTTCTCCTTTTTTTGTTTCTAGCCAAAAAAGATGTTTCTGGCATCTCAGGTATGCTGATTTCACCAGTTGTTTTTTCTATGTGGCTATTCTTTTGTTTTGTTTTGCTCTCTCTCTCTCTCTCTCTCTCTCTCTCTGTCTCTCTCTCTCTGTCTCTCTCTCTGTCTCTCTCTCTGTCTCTCTCTCTCTCTCTCTGTCTCTCTCTCTGTCTCTCTCTCTCTGTCTCTCTCTCTGTCTCTCTCTCTGTCTCTCTCTCTCTGTCTCTCTCTCTCTCTGTCTCTCTCTCTGTCTCTCTCTCTCTCTGTCTCTCTGTCTCTCTCTCTCTGTCTCTCTCTCTGTCTCTCTGTCTCTCTCTCTCTCTCTGTCTCTCTCTCTGTCTCTCTCTCTCTGTCTCTCTCTCTCTCTGTCTCTCTCTCTCTGTCTCTCTTTCTCTCTCTGTCTCTCTCTCTCTCTCTGTCTGTCTCTCTCTCTCTCTCCACTGTGTTGCAATAGTTTCTTAAATGGTTCCTTGAACCCTCCCAGGGCTGTTGTGCTTTGTACATAGCTATATAATCTGGTGGTGATGTTTTTGTTTCCTGTAGCAGAGTAGTATAGATAATATACTGCTATATACTATAGTATATATAATACACTAATATACTTCATCAAGTTATTTAAATCTGCCTTTGAAAGGGGAGAATTGAAAATAATATTAGCAGTGAATCCTGGTAAACATTTAAAAAATAATGAGAAAAATATTGCCCTTACAAAGTCAAAATTTGTCTGAATACAACCCATATAGCAAATTCATTATAAATAGCCCTATTAAAGTGAGAAGGAAAAGAAGAATGCCCGCTGTCAGTGCTGTGTGAATATAGTTCTAAACGTTTTGGACAATGCCATATGCTGTCAGAAGAGAAGTCAGGGGAGACTTGAGCCCATGGTTTTTTCTCTCCTTCGGTACTTCCCCAAATGCCATTGGAATGATGTAATGTTTTGAAGACTCTACAGTAGTGCCCCAAATCACAGAACACTACCAATGCATCTGAATCTGAGATATGCCAAAAAGATACAAAATTGGTGTGATTAGAATGAAAGAAAGATTTAGGCTTTTGTCCATGACTGCAAGTTAGCTGCTCTCCAGTGACTACTGCTATAGAACAAATATATTTTAGAGGATCTCTTTGACACATTTCTATTCTTGAAAATGGTTAGGCAAGTTGTTAAAATATCCCCTCTTTCAAACACAAAAATAGCCTGTGAACTGGAGCTTGAGCTCTGGGCACTTAGTACTGACTAGCTGATGGAAGCGGGTGACAGTTTCCCGGAAGATGTACTGGGAAGATCTGCTATTATCAGCAATGCGAATGGGGGTACTACTGTCAGGAATTCCAGTGTGTTAGTCCTGAAGCTCCTATATTGAGATAAAGCATTGAGTCAGTTTCACAGAAGTTTGGATAATAGCATTCTCATTTTAGACCATAAAGTAACAGCAGATTAAGGATCAGCAACGAGTTCAGTATTAAAAATGATCAGGTAGGCAAGACACCATGAAAACAGTTAGAAACATAAACAGCATACTTGGACCCTCAAAAACAAAATGTATTGAAATTTGTAATGTGGAGAAATAATTAGGCAGCTATGTGTCAATTGTTTAAAGAAACAATCTACTCTTACGAAGCTGTAAAGTTCAGATATCTAACTGCCTGCATATAAATGTCCATGCCCCACCAAGGCACCCCACTGAGGTCACCTTCTGTTGTACCCTCACTTTGTATCTTGCGATGCCTCGGTGGGGCATGGACATTAAATGTAGGCAGTTAGATCTGACAGGACTGAATGTCAGCAGCGTCCAGTATGATATCCGTTCACTAGGTCAAAAGACATGGATGGAAACTTATCAACAGGTGCTACTGCTGAATGAGCCTCTTTTCTGTTTTTTGCTATGATAATCCTAGTAAGGCTGTACATATTAGATCCCTGAACCCACAGGACTGATTTTAGGATCTGGTCTGGCCAGGGACATAGCCTTCAAATCTGCAGAACTTCATGATAATCAGCTACCAACTTACCTGGGGATAAGAGAATCGAAAAAAGAAGGAGAATAAAGAGAAGCGAATGGAGTCTCATGGCTGAAGGGCCAGCATCAATGAGGGCTGAGCCTGGAGTCTCTGGGCATGGTGGGTCTGCGCCTATTTATGATGCTCTCTGGGTGTGTGATTTGTTCTTGGTTAGTAGAGCCTAACGAAAAGAGAATAACTAAGTCTCCCACAGGAAACTTCCAGGGACACAAAAGTACATAAATGTGGTCATAGCTCAATGGATGAGAAAGCAGATTAATATTATTTATTTCCCAAAGACTCAGGATGTCTACTGTCAGCTGCTTTCTTTGCTATTTTCTACATGCACAGGCAACACCATCGATCCCACTTTATACATCTACTGTTCGCCAGGCAGTATCGTAGGAACTAGAAGTGCATGAAGTACTTCATGATAAGATCACTGGAGAAAAATGTTAAATGGGTTCATGCAGAAACATGGAAAAGACACAATCATCCAAAATAGGTCATTGTTATCTTAGCAGCTCCCTTTACTGCAAGGGAGCGGATGAAAGAATGTTGGGAGACGCTTCATAAAATGGATTATATACAATGTGCTTGAAAAGAGTTTGGTGTTTTATGGTGTGTGGAAAGAGCAATACGGGGAGTTCTTGTTCAAGGGTTAAAGCTATATAAAATTAGTCGATTGCAGAGATAGGCTCTAAAACATAGAATGGGACATTGTGTACTTAACAATTTGTTAAGAGGGTAGATCTTAGGGGTTCTGACAACGAAGGGACACAGGAAACTCTCTGGAGGTGATGCGTATACTATCACCTGATGTTGGTTGTGGTAACAAGAGTAATATATAAACGCGTACTTGCCAGACTGTATCCACTAATTATGTACAGCTTGTGTACAACAATTTTACTCCTATATATCTGGAAGAAAGAATTTGGTATTTCATTTTATAGCAACATTAAGTTGAAGGCACATTTCAACCTCTTTTTAGATATTGTAACTTTTAAAAATTATTAGTTACTGTTTTAAATAAACATTTATTTTTCAAGTAAAGCTTGGCATTTTAAAAATTCAACAAACTGAAGAAAAGAAAGAAAATTACTTGGAATTCCACTACTGAAATTCAATAGCTAAAGATTTTGAAACATTTTTGCTAGCATAATAAGCAGCCTTTGTTATCTCTGCAGAATAGTCCCTATAGTAATTTAAAAATGTTAACCTAAATATACTATCTGAATAGAAGCCTACAACGCTGAACGTTATTATTGTCAGCTTCCAGAGTGGCCCCAGCTATCCTTCCTTCCTGATGTTCATGCCCTCATGAATACCTCCTTCTGAGAGTAGGCTGGACTTAACTGCTTCTAGTAATTATAGTACAGCAGATAGGATAGTTTGTCACTTTGTAATTCAGAACTATCTTGGGCATCCTTGCTCTCCTAGGCTTATTTAATCGCTCTAAGAAAAGTCAGTTGCCATGTTATGAGCTACCTTATGGAAAGACCAATGCAGCAGGCTGGAGTGCAATGGCACAATCTCAACTCACTGCAACCTCCTCTTCCTGGGTTCAAGCAATTCTTCTGCCTCAGCCTCCTGAGTACCTGGGACTACAGGTGCACACCACCACACCCAGCTAATTTTTTTGTATTTTTTTTTTTTAGTAGAGATGGGTTTCACCATGTTGCCCAGGATGGTCTAGATCTCCTGACCTTGTGATCCACCCACCTCGGCTCCCAAAGTGCTGAGATTACAGGTATGAGCCACTGCACCCAGGCTCATTTGTAATTTCTTTGACAGATTTTAAGTAACCTAGAGAAATATTTCATGGTGAAATATAAAGGTACATTTGAGACTAGGAGTATGAATTCAGTCAGATGCATTCGGGCAATCAGATCTGAAGCCAATCACTTCAGAAGTTAGTCACTGAAAAAGACAGAGAAGCAAAAATGAGAGAAACCATAAGAAAATAAAAATGTTCTGCATAGAAGTCTTAGAAAACACTGGGTTCTTATCATCACAGCCAGGTTCACAGAAACTCTGATGCTTTTTGGTTGATTGCTGGTGAGAATGTCCCATGGAGGCTCTAGCGGTAGCCTGAGAAAGGCCGAGCTGCCCTCTGGGGAATCGCTCAGATGCCCCAACGTGTCCGTTGGGCAGCGCCCGGGACAGCACTTTTCATACAGAGGACACCCCCACCCTGCCCCCTATCCTTGTCAGCCAGAGCACATCTGAAAACTGTAGTCACAGCCGTCCCTTGGAAAAACGTTTCGAAGCACAATGGCCGCAAGCCTGGGTCACCCCCTGTTGCGTGTGAAATTCATGCAGATGTCAGTGGCAGCAGCTCTGCAGCTCAGCCCTGGGCCTGGGTGGGTTCGTGTCTAATCTTGTTCAATCACTAGATGATTCTAACATCTAAATAAACCTTCGCTTTTTATATGGAATAAAAATGTTAACAATGATGCTGGAGTGTCTAGAAATCACTTTCATATGCTACATTCTTAGGAATTTAAGGCACAAGGTTACATGGGCTCAGACCATGTAAGAAAACGTAAAGCAATGACTGCTGTCACACAGAGCACCTGTAATGTCAAAACCTTCTACCTCACCCCAGGTAAAGGGCAAGGTCATGACCACTGCCTGCAGGCCTGGCCGTCTCCTCACTCACACTGCTCAGGGGCATCTTCCACCTTGCTTTTCCTCACACTTTCCAGTCCTGTTCTACCATTAGGGTCTTTGCACTGGTTCGTCTTTCAAGAACTCTAGATTTTTTTTTTTTTGAGACGGAGTTTCGCTCTTGTTACCCAGGCTGGAGTGCAATGGCGCGATCTCGGCTAACCGCACCCTCCGCCTCCTGGGTTCAGGCAATTCTCCTGCCTCAGCCTCCTGAGTAGCTGGGATTACAGGCACACGCCACCACGCCCAGCTAATTTTTTTGTATTTTTAGTAGAGACGGGGTTTCACCATGTTGACCAGGATGGTCTCGATCTCTTGACCTCGTGATCCACCTGCCTTGGCCTCCCAGGAACTCTAGATTTTTATATGTCTAACTCATTTGCTTCCTTTCATTATTTATTTGAATTCATGTCCTCTTCAAACTATCACTGACATGTTATTTAAAAATTTAACCTTAAAATACATTACCTGTATTATTCTATCTCCATTTGTCTATTTTTATTTTTGGTGTATATTGCCTTTTTCTTCCATCTAGACTGTATCCTTCAATGAAAGCCTGAATTTTGATCCATTAGGTTTGCTGATATATACCCAGTTTCTATAACAGCACCTTAAAGATAGAAAGTACATAATAAATGTTGGTTGAACGACTAAATCATTAATAAACAAGTCTCCTGTCAATAAAACGAACTAAAAAGCGTGCATGCAGATGATGGATTAAAAGGACAAATCTAAGAGTGATTTGCCTTCAAGAGGAGGTAGAGAGACAAATGGGATGAAAAGTTTATTCAAAGTAATAACAGAAACCTTCCCAAACCTAGAGAATATATCAACATTCAAATACAAGAAGGTTATAGAACATCGGCAGATTTAACCCAGATAAGACGACCTCCAGATATTTAATGCTCAGACTCCCAGAAATCAAAGACAGACAGAAGATTCAGCTACGTGCGGTGGCTCACGTCTGTAATCCCAGCACTTTGGGAGGCCGAGGAGGGAAGATCACTTGAGCTTAGGAGTTTGAAAGCAGCCTAGGCAACAGAGTGAAATTACAAAAAAAAATGGCTGTGTGTGGTGTGTGCCTGTAGTTCCAGCTACTCTGGAGGCTAAGAGGAGGACTGCTTGAGCCCAGGAAGTCAAGGCTGCAGTGAGCTGAGATCGTGCCACTGTACTTCAGCCTGGGTGACAGAGTGAGACCCTATCTCAAAATAAACAAAAATAAAATTTTTAAAAAGGACCCTAAATCCTGCAAGAGAAATAAACAAATAACATACAACGGAGCTCCAATATATCCTGGCCTGCCTGGATTCATCACTTGCTGTCTAAAGAGCTCTCTGGTCCTGAATGATGAGTGGCAGCAACCATGTAGTGCAGGTAGGGGGCCTTGGGTAAGACTGAGATTTACTGACTTCATGTGTGACCTGAAGCTCTCCTTTGACTGTGTACTTTCAAATAGCCTGTCTTCAAGATGACTGATTTATTCTGCTTGATCAATTCTGCTGGTAAAGGACTTTAATACATTTTAACCATGTCAATTGCATTTTTCAACTCCAGAATTCCTTTTCCATTGTTTTTAGTTATTTCAATGTTCTCATTAAATTTATCTGTTAGGATTCTGAATTCCTTTCCTGTGTTATCACAGATTTGTTTGGGTTTTCTCAACACAGCAATTTTTATTTATCTGTTTGAAAGGGCCTCTACATCTCTGTCTTTTCAGAATTAGTCGCTGGTGCCTTATTTAGTTCATTCGATATTTTGCTTTTGAGGTCTAGTAACCGCTATTAAACTGGCCTAATTAATTCACATTCAGAGGTAGCGTAAAGAGGGTTTTAAGCACTTGAAACACCACTGATTTCATGTGAGAGTTGCTATGGAGAACTAATGAACTAGGAGGCTGCAGGTCTCTCAGCCAATAGGTCTTCTAGATTTCCGATGAGACCCTCTTTTCTGGGCATAGGTGACTTTGCTCTTGCTTTCAGTATTATAGCGCCACAAGGTGTCAGACACTCTCCTCTTACCGAGGCTTACACAAAAGTGCCATACCATAAATTGTTACTTGGTAGAGCTTGGCTCACGAAAAAAGAGAATGGTAAGAGGAGGACAGCAATCCTCACGGCTGAAGAAACAAGAAGCCTTGACTTTATTTCCAGGAGGCAGCGAAAACTTCCGTCTGTGGCCCTCTAGCACCAGTGGAATGTCTTTGTTTGGGTAGTAAGTGTCCTTCTGTTCCTCATTAGGGATAGTCACAGACAGAGATGTACCATGCATGCAAAATCAGCTTCATGGGACGACGGCGAGTCCCTGTTTTATTGGACACTCAGTTCATTAGAATGATGTGGGCGCACAGTTTTGACCAGAAAACCTTGTTAAATGGGAACATAAGCTACAAATGTTTTGGCAAAAGATGAAGGTTTGTGAACAAACAATTGTTTATATTAAG